GTTGTTTTTAAGTTTTTTGGGCTTTTGGTTAACGAAATCCAAGCTGACCCATTTTCTGAAATAAGCCCATCAACTATCGAAATAATTTGCAATAAAAAAGAATGAGGTGGATTATATTAGACAGTTTCTCTATATAATTGCATGATTCTTCTCTCAAACATACACTTCAATATTTAAAAATATAATTTTATTTCTTTTCCAAGAAATCTTTTTATTACTTATAGACAAAATTTTAAATGTCGATGTCGATAGAAATATTGAGGTCTCAATTTTATAAAAATATACGTGGAAATATCGACAAAATGTCTATGTCGATGGATATTTCTGTAAAAGTTAGAAAAATAAAAAAAATCGTAAAAAATATTTAAATTAATAAAATAAACAATTTCCTATTTCTAAATTAGTTAAAAATAATTAATATTGATATTATGTATATATTAGTGATATTTTGTTGTTATTTTTCATATTTTGTCGATTTTCTTGTACTATGATGAAAATGTCGATTTATCTCTTATGTCGATGTAAAACCCAGTGAAAATATGGATATGTCGATGAAAATATCAACGTATCGACGGATATTTAAAACTATGCTCGTAGAAAAGAATAGGCTCATCGCCAAAAGTTATATGTATATATAAAATGGTATGAGACTCACTTTTATTATCTAAATATTATGTAATATTGAGAGATACACTTATTTTTATTGTATTATTATAATAGTATGAATATTTTAAGGCTCGTTTGGTAAAGTTCTCGATTTTTTGTTTGTCGTTTTTAATTTTATTAAGAAGCTTTAAGTATTTTATAATTATATGTTTTTTGGTTTCTCTTCTTTTAAGAATATTATGATAAATTGTACAGAAATCATCAGTTTTCTTGTTTCCTTTTCCAATTTGTTTCAGAACATAAATAAAGATATTGTTTTATTATTTTTGAATCCATGCGTGTTGGGGTCATGCAATTAAATAATTTTTATTTATTAAAAGTATTGAAATGGAAATAAGAAAGGAGAGCGATATCAAATGAACTCTAACATTCTCATTTCTTTTGTTTTTTGTTTCTTTAGAACCTAATTGTTTGATAACTATTCATGTTTCTCTTTTCTTCATTTTTTGAAACATTTCCAAAATTGTATAATATTTTTTGAAATGACGAAATAAATTATTTCTTGTTTTTGTTTCAAGTTCTTTTTTGTTTTTTTTTTCAAAACATAGATAAAATTATTATTTTTTACTTATAAATAGGTTTTGATGTTGAATGTAATATATGTTTGTATTTGTTAGGAAAGAAATAGAGAAAATTGAGAGTCAACAACCTATGTTTTCCATTTTGAGTGTTAATAAACTAGACAGGATTGTATATATTATCTAATTCTGTAATTCTATTTTTCTAAATTTTAAAATATATCATCCTAACGTATTGGTTTCTAAATAGAATATAGATTATATTTAATTTTCATGATCACGTTCGATAATAAGTTCACTTTTTATTTTTATTTGTTAATAACTTTTTTGTTATATTTTCATATTTTTTAAATAACATATTTAAATTCATATTCAAATTTAAAAAATATCAAACGAAGTAGTTATTAGAAAAATTAAATCTAAAAAAAATAATGTAAATGAACGTACAATAATACATTTAATAATATCCAATCCAAACAAACATTACATAAAACTTAAAAGTTAACTGTTTTCTATATTTTTAGAACAAGTGGGTGTGAGATCAAATTCAGAACCTCTTAGTTAAAGATAATGTCAATTACTGAGTTATGTTCGTTTTGACAATTGTTTTCTATTTTTATAAATAATAGTTATAATTTTTTTTAGCCGCCAACCCACCACCATTGAATGACTCACGTTGGGAATCTTGTGATGGACTAGGTAATTGACGAGTGTGACCCACCTATCTAAGTCCTATAAATACATAGACACATTTCATACAAAATATTAAATTTCTGTTTAAAATATACACTCTTCTATACAATTTTAACTAAGTTCAGCTCAACATCAACTTAAACTAAGTACCAAAAACTTAAGGTAATCAAGCACACACTTATGTAATGTTCTATTTGCATGTGTGCACCTTGGTTCAACGTCCACTTCAAATCAGGAGTCAATTCGTTACTTAGTCTAAAATCTTTCATTGACATAATCAATAATTTGCATTAATTTTTCATTATTTATAGCACACTTTTCTTAATTACACAAAATTGAACCCATATAATTTCAAAGCTCTTATATAATTCTTTTAAGGAAAAACAAAAGACTCAAAGAGCTACGTATACTCAAAGAAAGTCAACCAGATTTCGTAAACAAGTAGAATTATAATTTTCCACCTATATATTTCTTGCATTAGAATTTTGAATTACTTTGTCGTTAAAAAAATTAGTAGAAAAGCCAGCGTGAATATAGCTGAATTGATTAAAACATTTTTCTTCGACTAAGATCGTGAGTTTGAATCTCTACATCTACATAGTTTACTTTACAGAAAAAATAAATTATTATTGAAAAAATAGATTAAAATAAAATTAAGGTACTAAAATAGTCACTTTTCAAAATAGGTCCAAACGATCTTCAAAATATCTATTTAGTTCAGGAACTTTGTTAACCTTTCAACTTGGAAAGTGACCAATTTTATCTTTGTTATATTATTTAGCCACTCAAAAATTACTTTCCCAATATTCGGTATCTGACTTGTGTAGTTTTAGTACATGGTCTCCCGTTAACACGTTATTCTATCATACTATTCAAAGTTATCTCATTAATTCGTTGTCTAAATATCAAAAAGTGAAAATAGTTCAACGATAATTAATACATATTTCTCAACATTTTTTTTAGTTAATACGATTAAAATTGATAAAAATTTCATAAACAGAGAAATTCGGGCAACCAAAACATGTGGAGCCGTGGAGGCCATCGACCGACGACTTTGATTCCCAATCATTTCCAAATCCGGACAAATCTTCCGTTTCAATCCAGATTACCAGAAGATTTCTGATTGCCACGCCTCAAATTCCCAAATCCTTATCCGATCCTCGTTCTCCTCCTCGCCGCCGCCGTCTTCTCACAATTTGGGGGTCCGATTTCACTTGCGCTTGACGTTCGTGGGGTGGGATTCCTATGGCTGTGCTCCTGGAGGAGATTGTGAAGTCCGTTGAGTTGTGGTTGAGGCTGATCAAGAAGCCCCAGCCGTACGTCGATCCCAACCTCGATCCGGTTCTTCTGATTCCCGGAGTTGCAGGGTCGATTTTGAATGCGGTAAATGAGGACACCGGCAGGGAGGAGCGTGTTTGGGTCAGGATTTTAGGGGCCGATTCTAAGTTCCGAACTGAGCTCTGGTCTTTTTACGATTCCGCTTCTGGTAATATTATTGGCTTTATGCATCTCGTCGTAGACTAGTTTTTCTTGGTAAATTTGAGATGGCTTCGGTGATTGGGGGTGTCTTTTATTCAGCTTTCAATTTGTATTCTTGCGTTAGGTTTTGGGTTTCCTTGGATAGTGAGCCCTATCACGTAGACTATGGTGTTTTGAGGCTGTTTTGATGCCCAAAATTTAGGGGAAAAGAAGGAGATGGAAGTCATCAATGTGGTATATGCGTGGTGTAAAAAATTAGCCTAGCTCGAATTCTTTATGTCTATTTTTGGTGACTTTTAAATTGATGAATTTTGTTATAGTTCCTATGTGATCAGCTGTGTCATGACGTGAGAACATCTTTAATAAACAACATAGATTTATTCGATTCAGAGTTCAAGGAGAAATGGATTCTGGTCAAGGCCATACTTAATTTGTCTTGAAGGGATCTTGCAATGATATAGGGTGAATTAGACGTTATTAGATGTATAGGTGAGTACTTCAGTCGAAGCTATCCAAGAAATAACGATTTTATCCAACGTTACAAATTGATTGAGTGGACTGGTCATCAAGCAGTTGGTTGGGAACTGATTTATTTGATTAGTTGTGCGAGGCTTGGCTAGTCTGTTGTTGTTGGAATCAGGGAGCAATTTAATATTACATTAATAGAAAATCTTGCAAAATTGAGTCATGGTTAGTTGTGATTGAGGTGCAATGTTTATTGTGCCTTAACAAACATGCAACATGAGGGGTTCAGCTGCTAACTCTTCATTTTTGTTAGCTATGTTCATGACGCGTTCCCCTCTAAAAGTTTGGGAACAGATTTTTTCCTGTTTGCCTAGTGCTTATGATGTAGGATGAGCAAATTATTTGAATTGTAAACCCAAGATATCTAGTTGATATTAATCTTTGAATTATGATGTATAATGTTGTTCTAACATTCTCTATTCATTTTAAAATTCTCCTTCCCTCCACAACCGGGGGGTGGGGGGGAAACAAGAGAGAAGTTTTGAGTAATTCCATTTTTTTTTTGACAGAGTAATTCCATTTCTTGTTCCAATACACTAACATTTTCTACTGGAACAGGTGAGTCTGTATGTTTTGATCCGAAGACCAAAATTAGAGTTCCTGATGAGAGAAGTGGATTGTATGCAATAGATATTTTGGACCCTGACCTGGTATACTGTTAGTCTTATTTATATACTGAATTTTGCTTTAAGAAGTACTTAATTCTAAATTTGTTTGGATTTGGGATGAAGTTATTGACTGGAAAATCTAATCCTTTGCTCTTGTTCTCACATGCACACGAACACGAACTCATGTATACTACTTACTTTTAACGGTCAGTTTGTGTTGTTTAAGCATAGATAAATATGCATTTTGTAAATATAGTATCAACAGATACATGCATGTGTTATGCAAGCACATACTGACCCTCAAATCAAATATATGCATGTGTTGTATTGTGTTAATTTATGTGGAATATCTTACAGGGCTTAATAATGATTATTGTATAAATCCTGTGTAATTTTTGTATTTTACCCCAAAACTATTAGCTGTTTGAATTATTGGCAATATTCACTTTTATGTAGAAATATTTTCTGATCTTTTTGTCCATTCAATTAATTAGCTGTAAGTAGTTGAAACTTATAACTAATGGACTGAACGGATTTTTGTTTGTTTTTTTTTTTCTTTTTAATTTGCATCATAGATGATCGGATGCGATTCTATATACTATTTCCATGACATGATTGTTGAAATGACCAAGTGGGGTTTTCAAGAAGGAAAAACTCTTTTTGGATTTGGATACGATTTTCGGCAAAGTAACAGGTATCAACTAAATTTTGGATTATTTTATTGCTACTTCACTTATTTGTCCTTTGAAAGTATAGGAAAAATCTAAATGATGATAGTGAATCTTGTGATTTATTAATATATATATATATAGAGTTATTTATAAGAAACAATTTCGTATGAAGTTTTAAAGAACCGGAAAAGAGAAAACCTTGAAATCAAAGGAGTTACAAGGAACCTGTCCAATTGGTCAAAAGAGATGCATAAGTAAAAGAACAAAATAGATGTGACATTTTACGCCAAGTGACACCATACTTGGTAATATTAAAAGAATCCAATCAAAACTATGGTTCTTTCAGGAAAAAAAAAGTCTCTGATTTCTTTCAATCCAAGTGACCCAATAGAAAGCTCTAACCATGTGTAGCCAAAGGATCTTCTTTTTGTTGTTGAATGGGTGGCCTGAAAGAGTGAGCGATAGGAGGCTCTTTGGTTCGAGGGGAAGTGCGACTGTCAAACTAAGGGATGCAAGCAATACATTCCAAAACCTTGATGCAATAGGGCAAGCGTGAAAGATATGGCTTTGAGTCTCTCCATCTTGGTATGGAGAATTGAACAAAAAGGGCATCTACTGCAGCAAATCTTGGGTGTTGATGGTACAGCGTGAGATAGCTCCCAAAGAAAGAATTTAATCTCTTTTGGGTATATGCCTTTACAAATGGACTTTGCTAGAAGAGATGAATCATTTGTCATTTTAGAGCCCATATAAAAAAAAAAGATTTGATGGTAAAGAGACTTTTGCTATCCGGTTTCCAAATCCATTTTTCCTCTGCTAGGCCAAGGAGGGAGAAAGAATATTGGAAAGATCTGCCAATTCTGCTATTATGACCTCCTTGAAGTTTCTTCGAAGCCTCAAGTCACAAAAACTAGCTTCTTCCTTCCATACTTTGATTGAAGCAAACTTGTGAAGGGATATATAGAAAGTATGAGGAAAACATAAATGGGTGTCTTTTAACCAACGATCATTCTAAAAGGATGTGGAGGCACCATTTCTCAATTGACCAGCCAAACAGTCATATATGACAATTTGGTGCTTCATGACATCAGATTAACTTATCTCCTAAAAGATCTTAAAGTGATCATCTTTCAAATGTAAGACTTCTAGACAAGTTCTCTTCATGGAGGCAGCGTGCTTGTATTCCATCGAGGACATCTTGATTTTTCAAGTTTCTTTGTTGTCCTCTTTTTCCTATCTTGCCCTTGCCCTGCATGGTGAATAAATATTTGAGTTGAGTTGACTTTGGAGTACCCCATTCAGTTTATTTGAAAAACACATTCATATCAGGTCATGTAATGTTGTCCCTGCTTTGCGCCTTATGCACCTCTTGTAATTTCCTTGTTGAGTTTTCTCATATTGATGGTTGATATTATTTTTAGGTTTGTAGTTCTGGGACTTTTAACACTTCTGCTTTACCTGTTTTTCTAGGTTGCCAGAATCATTGGATCGTTTAGCTGCTAAACTGGAGGCAGTATTTAGTGCTTCAGGAGGGAAAAAGATTAATATTATAAGTCACTCTATGGGTGGTCTTTTAGTGAAATGCTTCATGTGCCTGCGCAGCGAAGTAAAAAATCTCATTCTTCGCATTCTTTATCTACAATCATCTACTGCCATATTCATCCTAACTCCTAGGGGTGGAGCCAATGATTTTTTAAATGGAGGGACAAAAATCTTGTAAAGCCATGTTTAATTAGAAAAGAGTGCAAGTCGGTGGGGAAACCGAATTACTTAATTTTTATCTATAAAATTTAAAAATTTATAAAAAAATTTGTTGACAGCAGAATGGGCCGACAAGCCCCTCCTCTCAAGTCTCAACAACTTGTATCCACACCCTGCTGTCTCACTTGATCACATCAAACACTTCCCAAGTTTATTTTGATTGTTTATTTCATTTTATTTTTTCTTTGGTTCTAGACTTATCTATCTTGCCTCTTTGCATATATTCCCTATCCACAATATGAAGATTTTTATTTAAATAATTTCTTACACTTGTTTGCAGATCTTTGAGAAGTATGTGCAGAATTGGATTGCAATTGCTGCTCCATTCCAGGGTGAGACTTCTAAAGTCAAATATATGCAAAAAGACAGTTTAAATCCTTTCGGCTTAGTAGTTCATAAAGATTGCGCCTTCTTGAAATTATTACCTTAGCTATCTATTATTCTTTAAGGCCAAATTTTGAGACCATAGCTATCTTCAAGAAGAGATTTGAGAGGTCATTACTGATAATTGGGTTAGATATTGTCCGGATGTGCTTTAAACCAAACAAAGGGCAATTTGCCCCTTCTTTTTTTGTGAGATTGGGTCAAAATATGTTTCCTTTTTGGTTAAATTAAAGTTATATCCGGAGATTTCCTACATGTGGGGGGCTTAATATAATAAACAACAAACAAAAAAGGACAGCTCTTCTTTCTAAATGGCCTTGGACGTTTTGTAGAGAACTATTATGCTATTTGACACAAAATTACACAGAAAATAGTAAGGATAACACAAGGCATTTTAATTCTCTATTTTTGAAAATTCTGTTGTTTCATGTTTTGTTGTTTTCATGCATCTTATTTCTGCTTTCTGTTAATGTACAATCAGTAGTTACTTTTTAATGTAGGAATTAATTAAAATTTTCAATTTCAAAGCTAATATAAATAAAAAATAAATACAAACAAGAATATGATAAATGTCTTTTCATCTTGTACTTTTCCCTCAATTGTTTGATCGAAAAGGTTACTCATGGTCCAAACGTCCTCCGATCCTTCATTTTTTATTTGGAGTGGTTGGTTTATGTGATTGCTAGTCCAAATATGGATCCTAAATTGATGTATAAAGTGCACTCAATTAAAAAATTGAAATATTGCTGTAACAGGTGCACCTGGATATGTTACATCTACCTTTGTGAATGGAATGTCATTTGTCAACGGATGGAAACAGAACTTCTTTATATCAAAGTGGAGCATGCACCAACTGGTATGAGTCAAAATGATAGCACCATTATATGTTTTCATGTTGCTTGAATAGTTGAACAGAGCTTTGTAGAAAGAATTTGAAATGAAACGATATTGACTTTATTGTATTTTCTTCCTCTGTGAGAATTATTCCTGTGGTCGTATTTATTTATTTTATTTTATTTTGATGATGGATGAATTTGGTCTTGCAATTCATGTGGCAGTGTCTGTAAATCCTTTCTCTGATTTCTACCTTTTGAGACTCTTCAGTTGAGCTTGGTTCTTTTAATGGAATACAATTCAAGAGAAATCCATCTAAGATTTAGGGGGTCAGTCTTTGGATTTTAGCTTTGGAGAGGTTCAATACTTGTGGTAGATTGTATGATCTTTCTAGTACCTCTGTGTCATTGAGTTCTACTACTTGTTAAATTGTAGAGGAAAAGGTTTTCTTGCTCTTTTTCATCTCGCTTGGTGTGCTTTTATGCTTCTCGTTTAAAGAAATTTATGGACCATTATCTCCTTTTTGTGGATCTTCTAGAGACTTGTGATTTTTCCTTTGATGTTCATTATGCTGATTGTGTATATTTTAGTTTTTAAATTGTATTTCAATCGTTATGGATACTTTTCTGGCTTAATTAATTTGGTTAACCCATCCTTTTTTTTAGTTTCTATTATAACTAACACTGTTGTTTCCCCTCAGCTTATTGAATGTCCATCCATTTACGAACTAATGGGTTCTCCGGACTTTAATTGGCAACATATTCCTCTTCTAGAAATCTGGAGACAGAAACATGATGACGATGGGAACCCTCACAATGTGTTGGAATCTTACCTGCTTAAAGAAAGTGTTGAAATACTGACAGAATCTCTTTCAACAAACGCGGTGAGTTTTAATTGCTGCTATATTGTCATATACATCACATCTAAAGATTGGGTCACCATTATAGTGTGCTATATTTTATATTTTCTCTGGAGGGGGAGAGGGAGAGTCGTATAATACTTGGAAAGTTCTCGAAATAGATGATTTCAAGATGTGAAGATTCGATAATGTAGTTAATATCCTACAATTTATCTTGGCAACCAAATGTGGTAGGTCCATGTGATATTCCCATGAAATTAGTCCAAATGTAGTAGGGCCATGCGGTTGTCCCATGAAATTAGTCGAGGTGCGCACAAGCTGGCCCGAACACTCATGGATATATATGTATATATATATATATATAAAAAGATATATGTGGTTTTTCGCACCGCTGGACTTAAACTAAACTTGAATAGAATATTATATCACAAATAAAAAAGTGAAGATTTAGACCTATGATTATTAAGATGCCTTCACAACTAAACTATATTTAGATCAGTAGTTTTAACTTTTAACTCGAACTTAGTGTTGGTGTTACGTCAATTTGTGGGTGATTACATAATAAATCACTATGATACATGTCTGTGAGATATTTATATGTGTGAGATAGGGAGATCTAAGATGTTACACATTCTAGGTAAACTGATTTTGGTATGCGTTTACAAACTTTTAAGTTTTATGTACTTGAACCAGATTCTTCATGATGGATTGACTATTCCCCTGCCATTTAATTTGGAGATTTTGAAATGGGCAAACGAGACACGGGAAGTTTTAAAGAATGCTAAACTTCCTTCTCAGGTTAAGTTTTACAATATATATGCGACGGGTCTTGAGACACCACATACTGTTTGGTAAGCCTACATTTGAAACGATATTTTACAAAGGATTATTGCAATGAAATTATTAAAATCCTGCTATGTCAGTTTTTTACTCGGCTTCTGAAAAATGATGTATTATTTATTCTACAGCTATGGAGATGCGGAAAAGCCAGTTGCTGATTTACATAATCTACGATATATTGAGGTCACTGTTGTCTATTCTATAGCATCTTATCAAATATGATTTTACATTCTATAGGGTGGAACTGGAACCTTGAAGAAATATTGTCAGACAACTTTTTGCTATTTAACTCAATTTTATATTCTATTGTCTACCCTCTTTCGTCCAACTGTCTTTGAAGTTATGAAAAATCAATCTGGAAAGCTGACTTGAATTTTCATAATTTCAGCCCAATTATATTTATGTTGATGGTGATGGCACGGTTCCTGTGGAGTCGGCAAAGGTTTGTTCTTGTTTATTTATTATCATTATTTTTTTAATAATTGGGATATCGGAGTTCTACTCCTTGCATTATACTTATGGCTCACCCCTACTAATTCTGGGAGGTTTCGCCAATTTGCTATCTCGGGAAGATAAGAAAGATTTTAAGCTATCAAGTTTTCGACCTGGGGCTAAAATCGAGGACTTTAGAGGGTATCTCGAAACCTCTCAAACCATTTTTACTAGGAACTAGGCACCTCTTGGGGGTTTATCCCTGTTTCATTCCTCTTCCTAACTTATGATCAACCACGTAAAGGATGAACATCTGCCAATCATTAAGATGATTGCCTACAATTTGAAGATGTAACTAATTTTCTAGCCTTGTAAAATTCTAATATTTTTTTGTCTTTGCTTCTTTTGGCTAGTCTTTGTTGCATTTCCAACATAGTAACACGAGCAAAATAAACGTTCAGAAGCCACGATGCATTTTCTTTTTCAGGCTGATGGACTCGATGCAGTAGCACGGATCGGGGTGCCCGGTGAGCACCAGCGGGTTCTTAGAGACCACCGCGTCTTCCGGAGGCTCAAGCACTGGCTCAAGGCAGGTGATCCTGATCCCTTCTATGACCCGCTAAACGACTATGTGATCTTGCCAACAGCTTTCGAGGTCGAAAGTCATGTGGAGAAAGGTTTGCAAGTAGCAGCTCTGAAAGAGGAATGGGAAATCATCTCCCATGACCAAAATAAGACAGATGAGTTATGTAATGACAAGCCATTGGTGAGTTCCATTATGCTATCTCGAGTTACTGAGGATTGCCCGTCCTCGAGGGCCGAGGCTTGCGCAACTGTTGTAGTTCATCCCCAGCAAGACGGTAAGCAGCACGTCGAACTGAATGCTGTTAGTGTATCAGTTGATGCATGAAAGTGGCGCGGCCTGTTCTTCCAAACCCGACTGCAATCAGCCTCATGAGCATTTGCCATTGATGCCGTTTGATCGAATATCTGTACAGTCATTATCACTTGTTTATGTGGTGAGAAATGTATATTAAAATTTAGATTTTCTTTTATTTTTTATTATTTTTTTATGTATATAGAAGAGACATAACTAAATGATCGTTTCCTTGCAGTGCTTTAATAATGGGAGAATTTAATCATGTAAATAGAAATATAAATGATTTAGTTGTTTGTTTGTTATTTATTTTTATAAATTTGTATTCTATAATTGTCGAATTAATTTGATAAGTGAATTTTATTAAATGGAATGTAACATGAACTAGTTTGTTCCTTTAATAAATTGGTAAAGTATTAAAAACTTTATATGTCTAAAAAATCGTTTTTGGTGGTGGCAAAACAGAAGATATCTTCTTTAGAAAAACCCTGATTCGATTTAGTTTGATTTGAAAAATAAATTAGAAACACCCTTAATTAAAATTGATACGCTGCTAAAAATAAAATGGGACAAGATTGCATGATAATCTTTTTAAGTTAAATTATAAGATTGGTCACCTATTTAGTTTTTGTACTTTAGAATTTATAATTGGACAATATTGCATGATAAATTCTTTATATGTCTACAATATTGCAACGTACAATTTATATAAGATAAGATAATTGGTATTAAAATTAATGAAATAATTTAGGTTAAAAATTATTTTTGTCCCAATATTTTCATTGAATTAGTGAATTAGTTTATAAACTTCCCCGTGGAGAAGCCTCTCGGAAAGATGGAGCTGGAAGTTCTCCCACGATTTTATTCCATGTACTTTCAAATTTGTAACAATTTAGTCTACATGAAAAATATCGTTTAACATTTAATGAAATTTATTTCATGCGTTGCTTGACAAATTAGTTAGGGACCAAATTTGTCTGTAAATTACAAAGGATAATCAATCATTACATAATAAAAATTGATAATTTATTTTTACGAAATTTTTCACAATATAAGTTTAATTGTTACATAGTCTAAATTGTTACGAATTTAAAAATTCAGAGACTAACCATTACAAATCAAAACTCGGGACTAAATCGTTACTCCAATAAATATACAAAGATATTTTTAAATTAGACACAAAATTGAAAGTTAGAGTTTATCATATATAGATATATATATTGTTTGGCTATTTTTAGTTCAACCTATTAAAAAAACAATAGTTGAGGTGGGGGATTCAAATATATGACGTCTTGATTAGAGACAGGTGTCGTTGAGCTAAAACTCATGTCGGCAAAGGGCAAACACCTTTTACAGATGCAACACAATTAAAATATTTTAAGAATTAAACTTATAGATTAACCAACTTATAAGTAAATGAACCAACTGTTTTCATCAATTTTCCACCCTTCAATTTGAAGGGTAGGATAATCTAAAGAGAAATTATTCAATGGAATTGTCACGGTGATATATACAGAAAAAATAATATTTAAAAACTTCTCTTTTATACCTATAAAATAGATATATAAATAATAATGACATCCTTTTAATCATATTAAATAATTTCTTCTAATTACAAATATTTATAAACTGTAATTAAATGCCAACATGAGCTTAGCGTAATTGGCATATGTTTCAAACCAAAAAATAGATATTTCTAGAAAAGTTATAAAATTTTTTTTTGTAAAAACTATTTAAATTAACAAATAAATATTTAATCATTTTTCAGTAGGTTAAAAATAGTTAATTTTAATATTATAAAAAATGTCGATTTATATCTAACGTCGAACCATAAATATTTATGGCAATGCAACGTGTCACGAATATTTAATACCAGAATGGATTGTGGAAATTAAAAGATGATTTATTTTTTATTTTTTGCCCTAATCAAGATTGCATCTTTTAAAAGAGAACAGTGAGCGCGAGCATGCGCGCGCCAAAACCCAGCCGCGGCGGAGGGAAGACGAAAACGAAAATATTTTCGAGAGAGGCTCCGAATCCAAAATTTCTTTCTTCCGTCGAATCAATTCAATGAGATCTTAATCAGGTTATTTCGACACTTTCTTTTGTTCTTCTTAGAATTACTCTTGTTTTTCGTTCTCTGATTCTATCGTTATTTCCTTGATCGGTGTGATTTTGTTCTTATTGTTGCCTGGATTCAAGTCTAGGGTGGATTATTCCCCTTCTCGCAAGGGTAAATCAATACCCTCTTGAATAATATATACGCAAATCACAAATCTATACTGTTTCGGAAATTGATGTGTCTCAATTTCACGTCTATGTTGAGTGTCCGTGATTTGGTGTTTCCCATTTATTTGGCTTTGAAATTCCCATATGCTACAGGATCAATTGAGTCGATTGAAATGTGGATGAATTTTATCTTTCCTTCTATTTTTTTCGTTTTCCATTTTCTTTTCCCTGTTTCTGGTTTTGGAATTGAGTTTTTATATTGTTCTATGTGCTTCTTGCTTTGAATGATGACCGAGTGGTGACTTATTTGAACATGTATCAGCTGAAAGAGATGGTGTTAGCAGACGAGGAAATCACTAGACTCTTTAGAATACGAAAAACTGTGTTGCAGATGTTAAAAGACCGAGGCTACTTTGTTGGAGATTTCGAGATTGGCATGTCTAGAGAGCAATTTAGGAATAAGTATGGTGAGAGCATGAAAAGAGAAGACCTTGTTATCAATAAAGCCAAGAGAAACGATAGCTCTGACCAGGTATAATCTCATGCTATGCAATAATAATATGAGATTTTAGTGACTCATGCAGTACATTACCACAGGAAAAATTTCTATTTGAGTTCTTCTCAAGTACTTTGACATGGAAAATACTTCACTATTGATCTTTGATTAGTATAATCATATTATTTGATAAATATTTCCCATGTTTATGCAGAGTTTAGTTATAGGAATGTACAAGCTATTTGTTAATTCTTTTATTTGCGACTCTTTTATACAGATATATATTTTCTTTCCTGAAGAGCAGAAGGTTGGTGTCAAGACAATGAAAACCTATACAAATCGTATGAAATCAGAGAACGTTTTTAGAGCAATATTGGTTGTTCAACAGAATTTGACCCCCTTTGCTCGTACTTGCATAGGTGAAATATCTTCTAAATTCCATTTGGAGGTTTTCCAGGTAAATGTTAAATTTCTAACTGTTTCCTGGAGTTTTCTAATGTTGGATTGAATAAAATAGCATCATCATATGCCAGAAATTTAATGAGAACCGGAGGGACCTCGTATGCTTCTTCCTCAAAACTAGTTATCATTGAAAGATTGTTACGTTGAATTCCATCTAGAATTTCAATTGAAGTTAAGAGATCTAAGCAATTACTCGTTTAATCCCTCATGTATAGCTTTTTTTTTTGGTTTTATAAGAAATCTGAAACATATGTATTATATAGACAAAAGAGCACTAAGAACTGGGTAGAGGGCACCCCGCCCAAGAGCAACTAGAAGAGAGCTTTTAAATGGCTGACAATCATGCTAAGGCTTAGTTACAAAAGTTTTTTTCTATAATTAAGCATACACCAAGAAGATACCACCAAGAAGAGGTGTACTAAACATTCCTATAAAAAATATCAAAAGTGTAGGCTTTATCTTTGACGATTTCTTTCCAACTTAATGTGTCAAAGAAGAGCTCTAGCCACACAATTCCAATTCCAAAGGACCTTTTCTTTTCAAGGAAACATCCAACCTGCAGTCCTTTATACAGCCAACAGTCTATTTGCTTGGCAAAACAAACCGAGATGCCAAAAATATCCAATAGATAATGCCAACCTCGAACCACATAAGGACAGTGGATAGATAAATGATAAATGGACTCGCTACTTTTGAGGCATAAACTGCACACCAAGGGAGAAAGAGCTCAGTTTCTACATTTCCCTGCTTTAGCTACAAATTTCTTGTGATTTCCATAATACCGTGCCTACTCTTAATTTACTGAAGTTAATGCCTACCCATTTGTCACTTGTTGATGCAGGAAGCAGAATTGATGGTCAATATTAAAGATCATGTTCTCATTCCCGAGCACCAGTTGCTGACAACTGAAGAGAAGAAGACGCTGCTGGAGAGGTATACTGTAAAAGAGACGCAGGTTAGTATCAAATTCTTTTCCCCGAAAGACACCACATGTTGAGAATTAATTTCTAAACACATACTGAAACGTGTATCTTTTAGTTTTTAATGTGATTTTGAATTTTGCTTCAGCTACCTCGCATTCAGGTCACTGATCCAATTGCTAGATATTACGGGCTGAAGCGTGGACAAGTTGTGAAGATTATCCGACCAAGTGAGACGGCAGGAAGATATGTGACATATAGATATGTTGTTTGATATTGACCTGATTGGCCATTGAAGTTACGGTTCTTGGAGCAGTGGTTTGAATTTTAGGCAATGTTTCTGTTAGCGTGGGCTCAATCTTGTGGGGAGTTTCTGTAGGATTTTGATAGAATTTCAGCGGTAGTGGACTGTTATTCATACACTAAACTGAGTAGGATAATTACATTTGTTTCTTTTCGAGTTTGACAAGTGATGATGAAGATTCAAATTTTCAACCTTTTGGTAAAAAATACGTCTTAACTAATTAACCTATGTTCAGGCTGACGAAGATATGTTTCTCTTCGATTTAACCTTCTGTTGTAAGATAGATTCTTATGTGCACCTGTAGTTCATATAATATTTGCCAGTTCTAAACTTCGATAGAACTTTTGATATCTTTGAAGTCGCATGAGTACAGACAGAATCCAAAATTTTTGTGCTCCTACTATGTTAATTAGGAATCTAACTTATGGAGCCTATTTCATAGAGATATTATTTTTTTTTGAGCAACATAAATATGGAGTGAAGGATTGAACTTCCTAACTTTCTTTGCATGTCCTAATGACCACCAATCTAACCTATGTTGATTATTTTGTAGGGATATTATTTTTTCCTACTATTCTAAATATGTAATGGATGATTGAACCTTTGATTTTTGTCTGCATAATCTTTAAGGTGTAATTTAGTAGATAAGATATTTATTACCTAATTCTATAATTAAAATTTTAATTATTGATTCTCAATAGTTTTATGATCCATTTTGTAAAATAATTTTATTATATTTGCATTGATACTGTATATAGACAAAAGTAAAAAATATATATATCCATGTTAAATTTAGGGTATTAAATTTTGTCAGTATATGGACATTTCAATATATATATGTAGAAAAAAATATATATACCCATGTAGTTAAAATTAGGGGGTTGAATTTTCGTCAACAATGTTGATATTTTTTCTTATTGTTGCAAAAAATACAACAAAATACAACAAAATATAAATAAATATTAATATTAACAATTTTTACCTTAGATGCCTTTTTTGTTTAAAAAAAAAAAAAAAGGCTCGCGCCAAAGAGCAGATGATTGTGATTCTACCCAATTTACTTACCATTTCCAGAAAACCAAAATCTGTGAACCTCAGCGAAGCAGCAACCTGTTCCAGAAGCTTGGAAGTGGAAGTGGAAGTGGATTCTTTGCTTTCCATTACAACACTTTGAGTTTCAGATAATGGCGATCTCCATTGCCTTCTCCGCGAACACCCATTTCCCATTTTCTCCAATTTCCAGATCAATTTCCTCTCTCAGTCCAAGCCTCGCTCTTCTTTTTAACGCCCCAAGAAATGCCAATCATGGGTTTCTGCCAATTCGACTCTTGGACACCAAATTGGACAAAATCAGGGCTGCCTTCTCTCAAATATCTTACGACAAGCAGTACCCAAAAGTGGGCGCCAAGTCTCTCGGACCCATTCCACCTTCCCAGCTAATTCAAGTCGTTGAAAATGCCGCCAAGACTGGAGCAGAGGTTCTGCCAGTCCACCGCTTTTCATTAATTCTTCGTCTAACAAATATGACGATATTTTGTTTTTCTAAATTCTTTTAGTTCATTGGTTGGGTCTTCTTCCTTCACGCCTTTTGAATTTCTTGTTCGTGGGACATGGTAGTTTCTGATATAAAGAATGTAATATAACCAGTTAGAATCAAAATTTGGGAAATTGGGGGGGATATCTTGTATTTGGAAGTGAAAGATCAATTGGGGTTGTTTTACTTGATTTGATTTGGATAATTGGGGTATGCAATATTTTGGGAAGTCATCAAGATCACTCTGAAGTGTCACAATGCAAAACTGTGTTTGACCGGGTATCAAAAATATGTAACTGGGAATTCTAACTTCTGAAGTTATGATCAAATATTACTTGGAGCGCCAAGTGTCTGTTGCTGGGAAATTAAAAGGTCAATTGAAAGTTATTCTGTATCAGTCAGTGTCTGAATTTTAGCTTCTGAAGTTTGCTCTACTATGGAGTTTATTAACACGATTGATGCCATTTAAGAAAACGACACTTTAAGTATTTGCTTGTTCACTTCATAGTGTGACTTTTGAGACCTTTATCTTGATGTTACCAGGTGGTGATGGATGCTGTTAATAAGCCTCGGAATGTTGAATATAAGGGATTGACCGACTTAGTAACCGAGTAAGGATTTCTTTGGAATTTCCAACTACAGTGACATACTTTTTATCTTCGGTGGCTTATCAAACTATAACTTTACAAAATAGATTTTGTTTTGTGGTGTGATATGAAATTTTTTGTTTGTATGATGAAATTACATGGAGACGAAGGAGATTCCTAGCTCATGACTCTCTTGGATAGATTAAAGATGTAGAATGAAACATATACATGTTTTTGCATCTAAAATAGAAGTAAAGATATAGAATGAGTAGAATGAGATATATGCATGTTTTTAAAGCTATTGTTGAATTGCTGCATGTCATTCTTGAAAACTTTCATATTTGGCGCTCTACAGAATCTCTCAATATTTAGTATATATACAATGTTTTCGCTAAATTACCTCTAGCCAAAGAAGCTTAAGACTTGACCAGATATTGTTGTGGGTATGGTTTTGGTCTAGACTTTATTGAATTGCTCTATTTGTTCCGTCAGTTTTTAGAAATGACAAACTAAACCCTCATCATTTGATCGATCTCTTTACAGATTATAGCGATATTTAGAGGGAAATCCCCTCGGTTTGTGCAAAAAAAGAGTTGAAGATTTTTGGCTTAGTCATACGACCCACACCATTTTCTTAACGACTTAGTATGTCATATTCGCATTCTGTTTTTAGCCTGTTTTCCTGATTTACTTGCAGCACAGATAAAATGAGCGAGGCTGCTATCCTGCAAGTTGTAAGAAAGAATTTCAAAGATCACCTCATCCTTGGAGAAGAGGGAGGAATTATAGGAGATTCATCATCTGATTATCTTTGGTGCATTGATCCCTTAGGTTTGTACTTGCGACTTTTTCTTTTCTGTGGTATGAAAATATAAAGTAGTAATTAGTAAATAAAATTTTCAGTATTAGGAGATGCACCAACAGCTTCATAGTAGATGATTTGTTGCCTCCAAGATTTATTTGTAAGTCTTACTAATGATTACTTTGTCTTTCATTTGATGAGGTTAAAGCTAGCAATTAGATACTGAACTTACAGTTCCCATTACATCGAGGTTTCTGGTGACAAAGAAACTTTATATACCACATATGTAGTTTGTCCCTTGGATTCTTTTGTTTGATATTTTATTACTAAGATATGGTCAATCTGCAAGATTCAAACTCAATTCTTCTTGAAAGAGTATTCTGTAATTACTTTTCTTCACAAAGTTATTCCGTGAAGTTGGGTTCCAGTTATAGATATGTCTACTTGTAAATGTGTGAGCATTTTGAGCAGCAAAAGAACTTTTGTCTTGACATCTTGACTGCAAAGGTTTTTAGTTTGAGATGGTATTGTTAATTTTCTACTTTCTAGACATAAATCATACCTAGATTTGAGGACAATTTTATATCATCATTAATTGATTTTAATTTAACTTTTGAAATGTTTATATTGTCCCGATGATAATTTGATGTCATAATGTACTAATTCTTTTTGAACCATTGAAGTACTGGTTTGGTTTTATATCTACTCATTAGTTCATCTTGAAATCCCTTCTAATATATGGAGGACATGTTGAGTTTTATCATCATTTGCTTTTAGAATCCTGCGGCAGAATTTTTAAAGTTTATTCCTCTGTTTTATCATTACCATGTGTGTAATACAATAAGTACAAGTTGTCTAACCTCTTTATTCATCCAGATGGGACAACAAATTTTGCACACTGCTATCCGTCCTTCGCAGTATCTGTTGGAGTTCTATTTCGGGGAAATCCTGCTGCTGCAGCCGTGGTATTCACACTGTAATCTATTTGCATGCCTCGGAGCTGTGCTTTACTCATGGAGCAGTAAACAAAAAAGTTGACCATTAAAATTGAGTCACATTATTGATTATTCAAACAGATAACCAGTTTGTGCTTTTCTTCCCGTAGGATAAGCTGGTCTAAAATCATCAAAGCTTAAAACCCATCTTGTCTGTGATCTGAATGAAAGTTTTTAAAAACTAACAAAGAGAAACAAAATGATTCCTGAAAAATTTTAAACTTTGAGGAACCCATGTGGTTGGATTTGAATCATTCTTAGTATCTAGAATAGTCTGGTTGAGAATGAAATAGGAAACAACGAAAGTAATTATCTGGGAAACATCAAAGTGGTTATCGTAGCAGTTGGGCTTGGACATGTGACAACATAAAGATGAGATGACGTTGACAGAATAACATGCCATTTTCATAAAAATTATGACATAGCCACGATAAGCACGTGTGTTGAAATATATGCTTTACACGCATACCTTTAGGGGTTGGAAAAGCTCCCAGAAGTTTTTTTCCCTCTCTCTCTTGTTGTTGTAGTAGTAGTAATCTTTGGAAGCCTTTGAATATTTTATTAATCAATGAAATTTTTGTTTCTTGTTTAAATAATTGAAGTTTTTTCTCAAATCCTATAACAAACATTATCTTGTTTTGTTTTGTGGTAAATGGGAAAGAATCTTTCATCATATTTTCTATAGATCATGAGACAAAAAATGATAAACCAACGAAATAGATTATCAACTTTTAGATAAGTAATCAATCATCATATTTTCCTGGAAATTAAAGATCAAGGAAGGTTCATGCTTTCTTTTATTCAAAATGACAAACCAACGAAATAGATTATCAGCTGATTTGATTTTCTTTGACATGCTTGTTTTTTTTCAAGGCTTCTGATATCTTTATGAGGTTTTTGCTGGCATAACGTATGTTATTTTTCAGGTGGAGTTTGTTGGAGGTCCTATGTGCTGGAACACTCGCATATTTACTGCAACTGCGGGTGACTGTTCTTATAAATTTTTGCTTAAAATATAGTTTTGGTTCTTAAAGTTTATCCATATTTCTTATTTGGTCTTAAGTTTAAAAGGTTCTATATTAATCCTTCAAGTTTCAATAAGTTTCAAATTCAATCCTCAATGTTAAAATCTAAATAAAGAATTAATAACCAAAGTAACATGATTTGTTTTGTTGTTGATTAACATTAACATTTACATAAAATTATAGTTTATGATCTAGAGATGACAATATGGACATATTTTGCATTACTTGCACAGGATTGATAAAAGATAGGGTTAAAGCATGTTTAGGTAGTTGGAAAAGAAAGGAAAATGTTAGAAGACTAAAGGAAATTTTATGTCAAAATGTCAGGAAACAAAATATAAGTCATGGTCACTTTATCATTAAAGGTTTCAATATGAAGGTCTGAATTTGGAATTGATTACAACTTGAGGGACTAAAATGGAATAATATTTGAGACAACTAGAAATGGGTAATTTTAGGGTCTAAAGCTATATTTTACGCCTTCTATTTTTTTTATTTTATTTTTAGTTTCTGTTCCATTGGTTAGTTTATCTTTATATTGATGTTTGTTACGTTAGGTGGGGGAGCATTCTGTAACGGCCAAAAGATTAGTGTGAGTCAAACTAGCCAGGTGAGTTTGTTATGTAGAAAACAATTTGAAAATGATGACGTTTGTTAGCATTTTCATTGTCTTCCAACTCCCAATGCATTGGAGATATCTGTTTGCTTTGTTAATGAACTATTTATTATTTATTATTTATTTTATTATTATTATTTTGGAGAAATCTTATCCAAATTTTCATGGGGCAACAACGTTTACCTCTTTATGTCTTTTCTACTATTAAATTATTATATTTTTTGATTGAAAAAACTAATTGTCATACTATTGGAACATTGTTAGATATTTTTTTCCCTAATTCACAGATTTGATAGACACAATTAAAAAATCAGTTATATTAAGCATAAGATATAAGTTTGTGTCTAATATATTCTTGAATTTTAAAATGTCTAGGTCAGGGTTCTATTAAACACAAATTGTAAGTTTAGAGACTTATCAGACACTTTAAAGTTCAGAGACCTATTAGACACAAATAAAATTGAAAGGGTAGGAATCTATTAGATATTTTTTGAAGTCTAAGACTAAACTTGTAATTTAACATATATATGTACGTATGCAAGTTTCTTACTGCAGCTTTCCCTTGAAAATCCATGATGCTGAAGTAGTCATATATTTCTGCTGATGAAGATTGTAGCACTCTCGTGCTGTGTTAATGGTTTTTGTTTTCTTCCAAAACACTTGATCTACTACTTGACATCCATGCCCATGAAATTTGACTGTGCTTGCACATTTTCAGAAACTAAAGAATGCTCACGTCACATTCATCTCTTGTAATTAAGTTCATCAGAGAAGTATTCTCATTGTATTTCATAGTGGGGATAGCTTTGTTTGATGGCTTAACACTATTTTCTACTTCTTTCAGGTGGAACGATCTCTTCTGGTTACAGGATTTGGATATGAACATGATGATCCATGGGCTACAAATATGGATTTATTTAAAGAATTCACAGATGTCAGCAGGGTATTCAACTTCTACTGGTTAGCCATTTTTGACAAACAGTGCTCCGTCTACTGCCAACTGTCTACCTATTTACTAAAATTTTTTTTCTCGACTCTTCAATGTGCAGGGAGTGAGAAGGCTCGGTGCAGCTGCAGTTGACATGTGCCACGTATCTCTAGGAATTGTAGAAGCTTACTGGGAGTATCGTCTAAAGCCATGGGATATGGCTGCAGGTGTTTTGGTACTGCACTTGGTCTTGATGTGCATTATTTCCAGTCTTTGAATTGGACATATGAATAGGAAAGCTAAGGTTATTCTGGTGGCGACCTAAGAAACTCGTACAATTCAGAAGAATTTTACTCATTTTTCTTCAAGATGATGACCTCAAAGGAACCAGACTTTAGGATTTCTCTCTTATTCTTTAAGAAGTTGTTTCCATGTGCAGATAGTCGAGGAAGCCGGTGGAGCGGTGACTCGCATGGATGGTGGCAAGTTCTGCGTCTTTGATAGATCTGTTTTGGTTTCTAACGGCGTTGTACACGACAAGGTAATGCTTATGGTTCTGCACCCAGAATAGAAAATTTCATCTTCTGTATTTCTAGGTGCTGATTTTGGGCTACTAAAGGCATAAAAAATGATTGTCATCTTATTGATTGGAATAGTCTCCCCTCCAATCACAAAAATGATGGTGGCTTTGTCATTGGAAATCTTAAAGACAAGAAGATAGCTCTTAATACCAAATGGGGTGTTAGAGATTGCCACTAGAAAGAGCGTTGATAGTAAATATCTGCTCGATACTCACCGATTTACTAAAAGTCGTAGCAAAATTTGAAGAAACAACCCATGGGAGGTTGTTACAAGAAGGAAGTGGGTCACTGAGGATATACAATACATCATCAAAATTAGACTGACCATTTTACTAGCTTTTGGAATGCAGTTTGATTAATTTTCTTTCTTTTTTTTTTTTTTGAAAACAAGTTTTGTTAATTGATTAACCATTGAAGCTCATTTTTCCTACGCACTTCCAAATCATTAGCCAAAAATTTGCTAGTTTGTCCATGAGAAAACCATTGTTGGCTCATCATCAAGTTGTTCTGAATTGCAGCTTCTGGAGAAAATCGGTTCTGCCACAGAAAAACTGAAGAGCAAAGGACTTGATTTCTCATTGTGGTATAAGCCAGAAAACTACCAGACAGACCTTTGAACTGCGCCACTTGATATCCACTTTTCCAGTCTCCGAGAACAACGTTGCAGAACGAAATTGCTGTAAGTTTACATCAGGTAGAGCCATAATTTTTCGCTGTTTCCCTTTCCAAATAATAATAATAGTTTCAACTTGAGGATGTTTCATATTCTGCTTACATTGTTTTCCAAACTCAGGCTATGAATGTTTAGTTGAGATACATACACCACATCACATCAAGTTCGGTTAATGTGATGTTTTATTTTTGTTCACCTTTGGTTCAATGACAATACCTTTGAGGATCATCCCCCTCTTCCAGTGTCCTCCATATTTATACATGCTAAACTTGATCTCGCCGTCGCCAGACTTGTCAGGAACAACCTTGAATTCGCCTATCGGTATCTTCACCCACTCAGCTTTTTTCTTTTCCTTCAATGTTACTTTATTCTTATAGATTTTCCCATCTGGCTCCGTGAGGCTGATGGTAACTGGAACGTTCCATCCGTACGCATCCTCTGTGATCTTGATCTCAAATACTGCCTCGTACAATGTGTTTGGTGAGAGGTCAGATTCCTTAATCTTCCCATTGATTTCAAGCCAACACACGTTTAGAAGCTCTATGATTTTAATAGTCTTATTGCTACTGCTGTAAAGAAAAAAGAAAGCGGATTGGGACCAGATAGAGTAGGATCACAGGTAAAATAGATTGAGAAAAGAAGAAGTTACGAAGTAAAAGACAATATTTAGCTTCATGCTATARCTCATTGGATTTTTGGGATGGGTTGCTAATCATGGATGTCCACCTATTTATAGCCCATACACACTTGCTCATCAAATAAATTTTACGCTACATATTAGCCTCGGATAAAGTGATGATCTAGCAGCCATATATTTTCCACATATTGGCCTTGGATAATGTGATGATCTCGTTGCCACGATTTTGCAACATCTTGCTTTCTAGTAACTTTTAGTGACTTTAATTATCCAAGGAAGCTCCTTGGATAGATTTGACAAAATATTTAATCCAGTGGTTTCTAGAAATTTCTTGAATAGGCTTGACAAAATATTATTTAACAACTTCAGATGTCACGGTGCCATTAGACAAAAAAAAAAAAAAAAAAAAAAAACTCGGCAAAATCTTTTCCCGACAAAACAACAACAGAAGTTAATAAAGAAAATGTTAGTATAAGATTATTATACCTTAACTTCGAATGCCATTTCCAGTACCTGTTGTCTGAACTCCATTCTATTGAGAGAGCTTTGGGAAATAACATGTAACATTTATTTGAATTCTCATCAAACCAACGCATCTGCAAAGTATTAAAAAACAATCAAGGAAAAAGAAATCTTTCTTTTTCTTAAATAATTGATAGCTAAACTAATTAAGATATATCAGTGTACTAAAAAAACAGATATATCAGTAATATTTCTTAGTATCGTCGCATCTATCTAGTCCACCTAATTTTAGAAAATTTCTAGATATCTAAGTGCMTATTTGGCATGTCATCCGAATTCTATTTCAGATTTGTTTTTGAAAATTGTAGTTTTTTAATTTGAAACTTTAAAATACAGAATTGATAAATACTCTATCTCGTATTATAAACTAATTTTATTTTTACTACAATTAAAACGTGTAAAACATAATATTTTATAAACTATATAGTATTGTAAAATAATAGTTATACAAAATCTATAATGTTAATTTTCATAATTGGTTTTAAAAAAATTAATTAATTAAATAGTATTCTAAATTGAACTAGAAATTTAATTGAAATTCAATTTCTAAATTTACTACCAAACACATTCGAAAACATTGAAACTATGACATACAATCATTGTTTTTCATTGCATCTTATTACTAGCAAAACGCACCCTAAACTGACTTTTAAAATTATGTCCATTTGGTTGATTATACTTGCAAAAAAAGTAATTAAACTTTCAATTTTTTGAATGATTGAAATTAATACAAGAGCCCTTCAAGTACAAAATTGAAAATTCAATACGAGGACAAAATAGGCAATATTTTGGAAATTTCATAAACAAGTTTAGACTAAATAGGTAGACGATCTTGAAACTTCAAAGACCAAACTTATAATTTAATTAAACCTAAAATCGAACTACCTCATTCACATGTCTATATATATATATATACTAAGATCTTTATTATTATTTCAAGATCTTGAAATGAGTATTAGAAATATTATATCACTTGCCTTTTTGTTGTCGTACAAGAGTTCTCCATCAGGGAATTTGACATCACTAAGCTCATCCACTCTTCCGGTGGCGTCGTTAGGCTGATTTCCGTGCTGCAGAAAATCCATGAAACTCGAGATCTCATTGCCCATTTTTCTCACAGTAGGGACAATAGAAAAGTTGGGGCTTAGGCTCTGATTTTATAGGGGTTTAATAAAAAAACCTTTTAAAAAAAAATTTTTAATTTAATTTAATTTCATTTTCAAAATTGATATGGTGATGGATGAATTTTGATGGGAATATGTTCTCTTTGTTGTTTGTTTGATAAGATACTTGGAAAAAGGAAAAAAGGGGTTAGAATAAATCTGCAAAATTGAAAAAAAATAGCAAATAAGCTTGAAGTTGAACATATTCCTGTATCTATTTTGA